GAGAGATAAAGTGTATTTTTACTTAAGCTATCAAACAACATTGAACTGAATGGACAGCTCAGATGACGATGAACTCGAATAATTAGCTCAAGATGCCAACAAAGTTTTATCCATTAAGAGATTAGGCATAAAAATAGCATTGGTGTTAAGGATACCAGAAAATCAAATATATGGCATGTGTTCACCCTATTCCATTAAAACTGATGGAAGACTGATTAGAGAACTTTCCCACTATGAAATAAATAGACCTTAAGTTTCCATTTAATTCCTCATCCAAATCGGAGTGGACTGTAGTTTTGACCTAACTTGGGTCACAATGTAGCGTATAATCTCGGCCCGTTACACACTACGCCATATGGCCAAGAGTGTCCTTTGGTCACAGAGCAGATGTAAATTTGTAGGAAGGCTAGGCATTTTACTACATCACATTCTGTGATATGATTTGCAATTATGCAAATTTATATCTGAAATATAGCAACCGATTATATTACTTACGTTTGTTCATAAGTATGTTTTCGATACTATCAGTAGATCATATATGAGATGTTTTCACCAGCTTTCCCTTAAGATGATAAAGTATAGCTATAGCAAATAGAACTTTACTTCATCTGCAATCCCATTATAGAACGTGATATTAAAAAATGTCTAGCTTTCCTTAAAATTAACATCTGCCCTTTGATCCAAGGGTACTCGTGACATGTCGAGATTATACACTACACTTTCGGGACTCGACTCACGCTAAAGGGGTTGATAAGAACTAGACAAGGACAAAACTGCATTCCAACCTGTATGAGAACACCTTTTGGGAAAGCAAGTATATGTGAAATGCAATGGAAACGTCAGCCCTACTCACATTATTGTGGGAAAACTCAACTACCAGTCCTTCATCACCTTAAACAAAATATGGTCTCGGAACCCTACTTATGAACGAAAAAATAAAATAATACAACTTTACTGGGGCTGTAGGGGCGATAGTCATTCAAAAATGTATGCCCAATATCGCTCTGATGAACTAGCTAATGCATGAAAAAAAAAAGCGATACAACCAGGTAAACCACCTAGCATATTATAAGACTACTATTGATCCTACACCTGCATAACTCCACGATGCTGTTCTTTCGCATCCTTGATTGATACGATAAAAAAATATAAAAATTAGGGTCCGAATACTCATCCAAAAAGGATAAATCTCAAATAAAATGAAGCAAAAAAGTAAAAACTGAGTGATCCATCGCATCGAAAGGCAAAAAGATGATCACCCAAATTCTGTGAAAATTCTTCGTATGAAAATGAATTTGGTGGTGGCAATGTTAGCTTAGATCCCTTCGGATCCATAATGTCAACCATGCGACCACCTCGCATGTAACTGAAGATAAATTCAGAAAGAATAATAAATGAAGAAAGAGAAGGAGAGGCGAAGAAAAGTGAAGAAAATGAAACCAGTAAAAAAAAGATAGACCTAAACAGCTAAAGACTTTGTGGAGACTGTCATTTCGTATGAAAGGTCGATCTCACCAGCTACTCATTTTATTGGCAGCCTTTTGGCCTTAATACGACGTTTAGGTTGGCGCAGTCTAGGAATTCTTCCTGTTTTCAGGTGAAAACGGGCAGAGCTTCGTCCATCATATGACGGGAATCGTCAGAGACGAAACTCATTTTTGCAAAATCTTCAAGTTACAACTAAGTTAAGACAACTATTAAGCTTCTATATACTCATAGCTAAAGAGTAAAAGTATTGATATAGATAAACATAAAATAATTTGGTTAGTTTCATTTATACCAAGCTGGATACTTATACTCATGTGTATGATTATGTGTGCACGTATGTGCATGTGCTAACGTCTGTGTGCGTGCAAGTCAGAGAACACAATGCACGTCTTAACTCAGAGTAGCCAGAAAAGCGTTAGATGTCAGGCAATGGTTCCCAAGGATTGATAAGCCAAGGAGAAGCATGACCAGGATTTCGTAAGCCCGAAAGTAACTCTGATTGCAATGATGAGCTGGAAGCCTGTACATGAGTAAGTCATATTACGAAACCACCAGTCATAACCAGTACGTCGTATTAAAGTCAAATGGACGCATAATAATGCGAGTTAGGAGTCATCTTCTGGTGAGATCGACTCACAAATCTTTTTATCATGCACCTGCACACGAATTGAAGGTCCTCACAACAATGTTGTCATGAAAGACTCCTCGAAAGCCAGTTATTCTTTGTATATGCTAATAAGGACCTGACGTGTCATCCAGGCGAAACAAGCCGGAGAGACGGCATATCCGCCGAGTGCATCAGGATGACCAAGAGCGGCATCGAAGCCGGCAGAAACAAGGATGATGTCAGGCCTGAATTGAGTGGCAACAGGCTCTATGAAACAGCGCCAGGCAGCGAGGTATTCAGCGTCGGCCAATCCGAGGAGGGGAGATGGATCACAAACATCAGGTCTGGCAGATATTTGCTGTCGGCGAGGAACCTCCGAGGCAGTTCCATCGTGTTCAGCGTCTCTTCCATTACAAGCGACTGGACAAGATGA